GAAATATGGTCGATTTACAACGCTAACTATTCCGAAATGTGAACATTTTATACTCCCTGTGTGTCCATTGCGGTTTCTGGTGATTTCTGCCATGAGACGGCTAAGAAATGTACAAAGTTTTAAAACAAACGTGTTTCGCTTTTGGGCTTTTTGCCATGAACGCAACCCCGCCTAGGCAGGTTACCCCACCTTGAGACGTTTACGTGGCAAATTGTAACTCCGGCTGACAGGGTTACCCTGCCTGGCAGACCGGGCAACCCGCCTAAGCGGGTCACCCCACCTATCATGTAAACGTGATCAAGATAAAATAAGAAATTATATGGACAGGCGGGTTACCCCACCTAGGCAGGTTACCTCACCTACCTTAGGTCCCCCACCTCCATATAAACAAGCCCTAAGGGCCTGTTTACATTGAGGTGGGAGACCCGTCTCGGTGGGGTAACCCACCTGTTCATATAATTTCTTATTTTATGGGGTCCCCCGCTTCCATGTAAGCAGGCCCTTAGATAAGATAAGATCATTTAATCAAGTGGTCTCCCAATCTTCTGGGCCCTATGCTCGTGATATAAGAATTTGACAAGCATAAAAATTCAGGACTATATATAATAAAAGCTAAGAAAAAATAAAATAAATAATAATAAAAAAGATTTAGAGACTACATATTTATTAATTAGTCCAGTATTAAGGTAAATATAGTATAAAATATAATCAGTAAGAGTATGATTTGTTTGAAATAAGTTGTCATTATTAAAGTACATGAAAATATGAACATGACTGAACAAGACGCCTAAAGAAAATAAGGTTATCTATGGATCGACCCAAATATATCGACACCTATTCTCAATGGTGATTCAAGGAAATAATGAGCATTTATAATTAAGTTCGGATATAACGCGCGCTGTCATTGGCTGAAAGAGCGTGCACTACGAGAGTATAGAGCATAGAGCTGAACTAAAGCTGTCACGCCATCTGCCAAATTTTACTATGTTCGACCTTTTCCGGGACCTCTTTTTAGCTTTTTTCCGATAATGGAAAGTGAAATTTCGGAACAAGCGAGCCGGCAAGTAGCAACAGAAGAACCAAACAAACGTTTGTAAACATACCAGGCGCCATGATTTACGTTATCAAAAAAAAATCCTCAAAGGATCAATCATGACGGTGTCTGAGCGAATATGATCATGCTGAAGTCCATCGCGGCTCGCTCATCATGGCGATCTCCGGTCATCAAGGTAAAGCAAGCCTCAGAAACTACATCGGCCGCCCTTCGAGTGAAAAAATAAGAGCTTGCTCTGATATCCTTTCCGATACATTGAGTGGAAAGTCACAACAGTCGCTGCAGCCGAGTTTTGCGGCGCTGTCATCCCGAGCGATCTTCATGTTCCGGTGAATTCGTCTGTCGTTCATTCAAAAACACAAAGGAACAGTTTGTTTTCTACCTTGTCATGTGAAGAAACTCGCGTGTTTTATGAGCCATAATTCAGCTGAATTTCACTGCACATTTCACTTCAAGATTCTGTATTAGAGACATAAAAACTTCAGGGAAAAGTGTTAAATTCGACCTGCCGGACTATTTCAGTTTGTAAACCATCGCAGAATGTGAACTTTGATGGTTTTTGAACTTTTGATGGTTTGACACTTTTGACAGCTTTAGTCTTGTACAGCCAATCAGATTATTTGAACCATTTTAACAGGGATTCTGATTGGCTTATTGTAGCGTGCTTTATGAGAGTATAGAGCATGCTGACGACACTGTTGTTCGCTTTGGAAATAAAGTTTGTTTTGAAAATTGAAAGTAATGCTTGGAGAATTGAATGGATTCTTTATTATAAAACAAATAGAGAAGCCTTGACTGTGCTCTGTTCTGTTATAAAGCACTTAGGAAGCAGCTAGATCACCCAAGAATTCTTTAGTGCTCTAGCCGCCTCCTGCGTGCTTTATAACAGAACAGAGCACAGTCAAGGCTTCTCTATTTGTTAAATAAAAGCAAAACCTTTGTGCAATATATACACCAAAAGTTTTAAAAAAGTAAGTGTCAAGTGCATCCTTGTTGCAGAGCACTATGTGAAAATTATCACGGAGAAAAAAGAATTTAAACTGAACTTAAATGTAATCTGAATCATTATTCCTAATAGTGAATCTTCGCTAGATCAAGTCAAGTAAATCTTTAGATCCAATAATTGTCAGTTGAACGAGTGAAGATAAAAATTTTACGTTGATAAAACGTTTGTCGACAGCAATACCCTCAGGTATAGCTTAAGGCTGTGACATGCACCTGCCCTTCCTCACCACAAACATTAGACATAGTCAGTCTTTGCTAGTTTAGAATAAAGTGAAGGTAACTTATACCCAACTCAGATCGACTAAACATGTTTAGTTAAACCACGTTTAATTAAATAGAAAAAAAGTTAGTGTGACGATAGGTTTTTCGCACTAACCGGACTTTTGCGGGGAACGCAACAATAAAAGGGAAAAATAGCTCAGTGGCGACCACTTGCAATGGGGACGGAAATTCGTTACGGTTTCTTGGTACACGGAGACCTGCTTCAAGCGAACTTGCTATGGACGTCAAGGGTTAGACAGTGTTTGGTTCCACAGTAACTTTAGTTCAGTTCATTTCGAGAACTGACATGACCTCTAGCGTTCTCAACTTCGTAATCGCCACACAATCGTGATGTAATCTCCACACGGTCGTCAATGTAATACAAAAAGCTTTGCAAAGTACTTCCTTAGGTACAATCGAATGCGTGTTCTATTTTTCTCTTAATTCACAATATTTGAATAGCATAACAAAATAAGGGGAAAATGTCTCTTTGTAGTTTACCGATTTAAATTTTCCCGTAACAACAGAAACATTAACTACTTAACTTCACATGGAGTTCAAGTAATTACTGGCTTGCATCCTCGAAGTGCTTAACTTAAATTCGACAAATATAAGTTTCAGTGAGCTCTTTGAAGAAAACAGTGAAAAACCGTGTTTACCAAAACATCTTTAAAGCATGTTTTTGATTTGGTTAGTCATTCAAGTAGACGTGATAAGAGATTCTTTGGTATTATTTAAGTGGGCACTTTGAATGATGAAGTTTGAGTGTTGCTTAATTTGGGATTAGTTTGATTTGTTTTGAGTGTTTACACTTTCATTACCCAAATCCGCAAACTCTGAAGAAGGCCTCTTGTGCGCATAGTGTGCGGTGGATATGAAAAATCCAGTTGAAATGGAAGCCACCCTCGATCAGATTTTATTATGCTCTGTTATGTTCTACGTTGAGTTTTTTTATTTTTTTCTATGAGCAAATATCATTTTATGAGCAAAATTTATTTTTAATACATTTTTTGGGAATACAGGCTATCGAGCGAAATTTCTTAACTTTCGTGACCGGATGAGTTAGGGCCATACATAAATCCTGAATTCTTTCACATAATCACGTAATACTCCTTAATAAACATTTATACATCAATTGTTAAACAACTTGGTGTCTCGTGATGTGTTCCACTAAGGAAAACATAAGTATGAAATGTGGCCAACAAGCATACAATTTGTCGTGACAGGTTTGATGGATTATCCATTTACTACCTTTAAAGCACGTGCGCACTGAAGTACATCCTTGAGAACGAGATTAAAGAAAAAAGTTAGATTTAAAAAGCGATGTACTTCTTCGGAGGATTTCAATGTTTGAATTAAGGAGTCGGCTCAAATCATTTTCATGACTTGTAGCATTTCAACATTTGGCTTTCCAAAAATATCATCAATCAAGATTATTACGGAAAGTAATTTTCATTAACCGCAAAGCTATTATTGCATTTGTGGGCGTAAAAAGTAGTCAAATCTTTGTCTTTCTTGTTTTGCGAGTCACACTGAAAACGTCATCTTGAAAGTGAAAGATACACACTCAAACAGTTCTCTTCCATACCGACACTTTTACTG